GAAATGAGAGGTTAAAAATTCAGTTTTCTTTAGGGCTGCCAAATGCAGTCGGGGGGGCGGGGATTCCCCCGCTTCGGACCTCCGATTACCGGCGCGCGTGGCGAAAAAGGGAAGGGGGAGAATTACGGCGCTGTTTGAAATGGCCAGATAGCTTCAGAGACGGCTCATTAACGGAATGAAATTCGCTGTATGACACACACACACCATCCCTGTATCGCTTTACTTGGAATCTGGACAACAATGGGTAACCTCTGGTGTGGAACAGTAATGTGACAGGGGCCAGCTTGATAAATGCTGAAGGTGAAACGAGAGATTAAAAATTCAGTTTTCTTCCAGGCCAGACCCCACAATGATATTAAATATAAACATTTTTTTTAAAAAAATATTTAACACTAAATAGTAGTGAGCAATATAAGCAGATTGTTTTAAGGGGCAAATGTAAATACAAAAATGTACTGAAAACTATTTTTAATCACCCTCCCACAGATTATAAGGCAAAATAGGAACTGATATTACCTCTACTGAGATTATGTGAGCTCGAGAGCATGCTTTTCAATGTTGAAAATCCTCTTTCTACAGAAATCGATGCTGGCGGACAATTTTTTAAAAAAGAGATATTCTAATGGAGAAATATTGCTCTTTGTATGAAACAAAACTTCTTTATTTCACTGTTTTCTAAGCTTGAATCCTGGAGGGTTCTTTCTTTCTTTCTTTCTTTCTTTCTTTCTTTCTTTCTTTCTTTCTTTCTTTCTTTCTTTCTTTCTCTCTCTCTCTCTCTCTCTCTCTCTCTCTCTCTCTTTCTTTCTCTCTCTCTTTCTCTCTCTCTCTCTCTCTCTCTCTCTCTTTCCCTCTTCTGGGGGTCACTGGGGGTGTGGGGGAGGATGTATTTGTGAATTTCCTGCACTGTGCAGGGGGTTGGACTAGATGACCCTGCAGGGAGGTCCTTTCCAACTCTATGATTCTATGAAAAAAATGCTTATGGTTTCCTACTTGTAACTTTATTTATACTTCAAAAAGTTTCCTCCCACTTTTTAAAACTGCAGAGTCTTTGATCACGTCATCAGAACTAATTTGGCATAACAAATCTTCTCTGCTTAGCACAGGCGAGGCATCCGGCAGGTCTTGTTACATAGTCACCCCGGCTGCCACCCCCCCTTTCAGCCTGTCATTCCTTATGAATAGCCATAACAGAAGGAACGACTGAGAAAAATATTCCACCTTCAAGGTGCCCCCCTTCCCTCGTCGCCCTCAGCACGTGATCATTTTGCTGGATGGTTAATCCAGGATTGTGCCACAGAGAAGGCCGTTTCTCGGGTCGCCACCGTCTAGCTTCAGGGGGGTGGGCGCAACCAAAGCGGGGCCTCTGAAGATGACTGGGGGGGGAGAGAGTCGGTTCGTGTGAGAGAAGGCAGCCCTTCGGTGAGTGGGGGCCTGTCAGACTAGGACTGAGGTAGGTTGAATAAACTCCATTACTTCAGCTGATGCACAGGGGCACGGGCTTTCCGGCCTGTTCCCTGGTGCCACCCGGCCTGCAGTGCCGGCTGGGGTTCCTGTGAGAGGGAGAGCAAAGGTGCCAAAATCGGGATCCCTCTAGGCAATTGGGATTTTAATGACTGACTGTGAGCTGAATCCTGGTTGCAGAGACAAGACTTCAAGGGCGCTTTCACCCTCACTAAATAACGCACTTTCGACCCGCTTTCAGTGCACTTTGCAGCTGGATTTCACTGTGTGAAATGGCAAGATCCACTTACAAACAGTTGCTGAAGTGGATTGAAATGGCGCTATTCAGCATGTGTGAACAGAGACTGTTGTTAAGGTGAAGCCAGGGTTTCCATGAGGTCTGAATAAAGGCCAAGAAATGCCCCTCCAAATGGGGCTTGGGGGCAGTGTTCCCTCTAAGCTGGGTTGGTGTGAGCTAGCTCACAGTTTTTTTAGCCTCTGGCTCACACATTTTTGTCTTAGCTCAGGAAGGACGGCTCCAGAGCAAACAAATTGATGCAGCAGCCAAATCGCTCGCTCACAACTTTAACGCCAATGGCTCACAAAGTAGAATTTTTGCTCACAAGACTCCATAGCTGAGAGAGGGAGCATTGCTCCGGAGATAGTTGTAAGCTCGGCGGTTGCAGTTAAGTCCTCACCCCAAGGGGCACCCCTCCGTTGCGCCAGATGCCTGTGGGGAAGCGCAAGTCCTCATAGCAGTGGGACATGTTTTTATTTATTTACACTATTTACATTATTACTTGTGAGAAAGGCGAACTGTGAAAGATGTGAGTCAACACAATTGACTTGTGAGTCAGTCAGGGAACAAACAGTGCAATCCGATTAGGGTTACATAAGACCATAAGAGACGCCAATGTTGGATCAGGCCAAGGGCCCATCCATTCCAACACTCTGCGTCACACAGTGGCCAAAAATACCAGGTGCCATCAGGAGGTCCAGCAGTGGGGCCAGGACATTAGAAGCCCTCCCACTGTTGACCCCCCCCAAGCACCAAGAAGACAGAGCATCACTTGCCCCAGAGCCCCTATCTATACCTTGTGGCTAATAGCCACTGATGGACCTCTGCTCCATATGCTTATCTAATTCCCTTTTGAAGCCGTCCATGCTTGTACCGCCACCACTTCCTGTGGTAGTGAATTCCATGTGTTAAGCACTCTTTGGGTGAAGAAGTACTTCCTTTTATCCGTTCTAACCCGACCGCTCAGCAATTTCATTGAGTGCCCACGAGTTCTTGTATTGTGAGAAAGGGAGAAAAGTACCTCTTTCTCTACCTGCTCTATCCCATGCATAATCTTATACACCTCAATCATGTCATCCCTCAGTCGTCGTTTCTCCAAGCTAAAGAGCCCTAAGCACTTTAACCTTTCCTCATAGGGAAAGTGTTCCAACCCTTTTATCATTCGAGTTGCCCTTTTCTGCACTTTTTCCAAAGCTATAATATCCTTTTTAAGGTGTGGTGACCAGAACTGCATACAGTATTCCAAATGAGGTCGCACCATTGATTTATATAAAGGCATTATGATACTGGCTGATCTGTTTTCAGTGCCCTTCCTAATAATCCCCAGCATAGCATTGGCCTTTTTTATGGCAGTCACACACTGTCTCGACATTTTCAGTGAGTTATCTACTACAACTCCAAGATCTCTCTCTTGTTCAGTCTCTGCCAGCTCAGACCCCATCAATGGGGTTTTTGGCTCCAAAACCAGAACCCAACCAGAAGTCTCAAAACAGAACTGAAGCAAAGCGTATGTATTAACATGGCACATTAAATGAATGCAAAATTCCATAGTGCCATCGTTGTTCAAGCAGGCCGTAGGCAGTAGTATAGACCACAGCCCCTAATGATTTATTGAAGGAGCTTTGTACAGAGAAACTCTTATTGTGCCTGTGCAGAAAAGCCCTCTTGGGCTGAGGGCAAAATCCTGCTTCCCGCCAGTCCTAACCCCAAGGACTTGGTTTCTGCTGATAGAAATCTCACAGGGGAAGGGAGTCTGAGCAGTGTAAAAAAAAACCCTTTCCTAGACCAGATGCAAAGAAAGCTTTTCTGGCGCATCTGGCTTTGGGCTAATAATCAGTATTAATTTGAAGCTCTTGGCAAAACGGCTACCAAGGCAGCTTCTAGTTCCCGCTAGTTAGGATCAATGCTCCCTCTAAACTGTGGAGTCTTGTGAGCAAAGATTCTACTTTGTGAGCTACTGGCATTAAAGTTGTGAGCGAGCGATTTGGCTGCTGCATACATTAGTTTGCTCTGGAGCCGTCCTTCTTGAGCGAAGACAAAAATGTGTGAGCTGGAGGCTAAAAACTGTGAGCTAGCTCACACTAACTCAGCTTAGAGGGGACACTGGTTAGGACGCAGTCACTCAATCGACAGCGTTCTCCTCTTGCTGGTCTTTACCCTTGAAATGGGAGAAAGTTCCACCATTAAAGTAATATTAGAAACCCAACAGTGGCAAAAAAAATAGTTGTTGACAATGGATTGTAACTCTCAGAGAAGGAGTGAGAAGATAAAATGTCTGGGCAGCAATCTGTGGTTTTCACTTGTTGCCAAAACTTTTATAGGTGAAGTAGGGAATTAGGGAAAGTTCCACAGGCCCCCCTCCCAAAGGTGTGGTGTTGTGGTTGCCCTTATGCCGCAGAAGGTGGAAGCTGACCCCTCTAATATGTGAGGGTTTAAGGTTAGTGTTAGGTCTGGGAGACCTGGGTTCAGATCCCCCACTCTGCCGTGAAAGGTCACTGGGTGACCTTCGGCCAGTCACATGCTCTCAGCTTAACCTACCTCACTGGCTTATTGTGGGGATAAAATGGAGGAGGGGAGAATAATTAAAGCTGTTTTGGGTCCCTGTCGAGGGAGAAAGGAAGGGTATAAATAAAATCTACCTGCAGAAGCGCTTTGCTGTCTGGCATAAGTTTTGACATTCCAAATATATATTCTTTGTTCTGTTAGCTTTCCGCTACATGTTCCAGAGAGAAAGCAGTGGGACGGGGTTCCCCAACATTATTGAGCCCTTCGGGCACCCCTGGAGTTCTGACACAACATGGTGGTTGCAGCCACAAAATGGCTGCCCCAAAATGGCTGCCGAAAGAGGCGGGGCCAGCCACCATCACACAGTGAAGATCCTCGTGCTTCGGTTACAGCTGCTGTCAAAGGAACATTTTTTTAAAAAAAAAATCCGTGAAGGCAAACAACTCTGCAATGGCCAGTCAAAAGCCTTGCAGGGAACAGGTCACCTAGTCCTGCACACTTTTTAAGAAACACGTGGCAGGTGCCAGGAAAGGTTTCTGTCCACGCTGGGGACCCCTTAACAAAAAAAAGTAACTCTTTAATTTTATTGGGGGGGAGTTAGTCAGTAGTTTTGTTTGCAATGTTGGTCTTTATGCTGTATTTTCGAGGAAGTTCGTCGAAGTGATCTGGGCAGGGTTTGAGCTGTAGGGGGTGTGAGACACTGGGGGTGGGAGGAAGAAGGGCACCTTCCTAATTCTTGTTCTTTCTTGCAGCATGCCTGCCCTCTGCCATTCTGAGCCTCGTGAACTCCCCCTACAAGCGTGGATTTTATTGCGACGATAACGCCATCCGGTACCCCTACAGGGCGGACACCATAACTCACGGACTGATGGCCGGCGTGACCATCACCTGCACCACAGTCATTGTAAGGAAATTCACTGTGACCCGGGAGAGCTTAAATTGGATTTTCATGATTCTGAGTCGGCGTGGTGTAGTGGCTACTGTGTCAGATTAGGATTTGGGAGAACCAAGTTCGAATCCCCACTCATGCCAATGGAAGCTCGCTGGTGGACCTTGGGCCAGTCACACACTCTCAACATAACCTCCCTCACAGGGCTGTTGTGGGGATAAAATGCAGGCAAGGAGAAGGTTGTTAGCTGCTTTGGAGTCCCCACTGGGGAGAAGGGTAAAGTATAAATAAATTAAATAAATAAATGATCCAGGGCCTCCTGCATCGTGCCTGGGTCCAAAAATCTTTGCTGTCTTTGCATTTCAACTTTTTACTGAGATTTTCATAAGCAAGAATAAAAATTGAGAAAGATGTTACAGCAAAGAAATAAAAAAGAAAACAAAAAGGAAAAGAGCCGGAGGAACATATCCTTAAGGAACTTACAAAATTTTCTCCACGGCAAAGCTGAATACAACCACTTATTGCTGAATCTGAAATTTACACACATCCATATACTCTAATATCATGACCAGTACACCAGCCAATCATATATTTTTCTATTATTCTGTTGTAAAAAAATTATTTGTCAGAAAATATCAATATTCCCTGGAGATTTTTTCAGTTCATTCTCTTTTTTAAAATGTCATCTAAAATCTTTTGTGACTTTCTCTTAACTCCCCCCCCAATTCATCATTATATTTGATAAATAAATTGTCCCCTCATAAAAGCTTTGTTTGCATCCCAAACCATTTTCACATCAATACCATTATTGTGAATAAACTTAAAGAATTCTGACAAGGTTTTTTTTAAACATTCTTCCACAGTTGTTTCTTTTTTTGCAACAAGACTTCTTTTAATCTCCATCGAAACATACTAGATTTTCTTTTGCATACCGAACTTAATGGGTTATGGTCCGAAAAACTCTTTGGTAAGATCTCAGCTTTAGAAACCTTTGTGGCTAGGGAACCAAACCATATCTGTCCTTGAAAACGATCTATGTCAGGGGTGTCAAACTTGCAGCCCGAGGCCCAGATCAGGCCCTCAAGGACCAGTCTCTCTCAATCGCACAGGAGAGATACATAGGCAAGCCTCTCCTGTGTGATTGAGAGAGTCTGGTAAAGAACTGGCTGAGGCTCCTCTTCCTCCCAGGGGGAGGGAGGGAACAGGCAGAGTTTGTTTCCTGGCCAGGTTGCAGGAGACAAAGGGAAGCCTTTCTTTCCTTCCATTGACTCAGACTCCTCCCTGAAGGGAGGGAGGGAACAAGGAAGAGCTTGCTTTGCTGGGCTGCCTCAAATGCACGGGAGAAATACCAAGCACATTTAAGACCAACAAAGTTTTGTTCAAGGTATGAGCTTTTGTGTGCCTTGCTACAGTGTTTTGTGTGACTGTGTGGCTCTTTATGCCAGGGCTCTCCTAAGTGCAACAGGGTTCCCTCCCCCTTTTCACTGTGTTCATGCCCTCACGATCCAGCCTTACTCAGTAAGAAAGCGCCATTTGAGGGGGAAACAAAGAGTTTTCCCCTCAAATGGCGTGGCCCCGCCCCCAGCGTGCGACGTCACTTCCGGGTGACGTGCAAGCCTAAGACGCCAGCCGGGAGCCCCCCGCTCCCAGCCAAAAAAAAATTGGCAACCCTATGCCCTCATGATCCAGTCTTTCTCAGTAGGAAAGCAATGTGAACTATTTTAGAGGAGGAATAACAAACCAGGGAGATGGATTAGGCTGAGAGTCTTCTCGTATTCTTGACCAGCACATGAAGCAATTTATGTACAAAAGGTGGCAATGCCCAGCCATGTCATTGTTTTCCCCTGGGCCCTAGGCTCAGAACACTGAGCATGAGATTCCTGTAATGAATGTCAATAAATCAAAAGTAGCTTTTCAGCTTGCAGATACATACCTGAACATTATACTCAAGATTGCTACGGCACAGACATTTTGACGCAATAATTCAGAGATGTCAGTTATCAGAAACTGTTAAATAGACAAAATATTGCAAGAGTGCTAGTGTTTTAAGCATGTTTTATTTAAAGTTAAAAAAATATTGAATTGTGTTTGTCTGTGTCCTTTATAAAGTTTATATCTTTGCTACCTGGCATTACATTTTATGACACTTGTGGCCTGGCCCAATAAGGTCTCGTTTTTGTCAGATCTGGCCCTCATAACAAATGAGTTAGACACCCCGATCTATATCTTTCTGAAAAAATAAGTATATTCTTTTGAAATACTGTTTAACTGTCTCCAAATGTCCACTGAGCCTAAATTTTCCATTAAATAAAAAAAAAGTTGGGAAGTTTTCCCTGGGTATTTTTGATGTTCTTTTCTGACAATTTATCTATCTGTGGAGAGATTATTCTGCTCCAAACACCCATCAAGCACCAACTGTTGTAGGAAAAACTCAAAAGTGTATCCATCAGCTGCTTATAAAACAACTTTCTATTTTCTTTGGGGGCATAAATTCCCAATTATAAGTAACTTGTACCCCAACATACCTACCATAAGCATCTCCAAGTACCAACTTCGGTTTTAAGTGAGTCTTAACATATAAAACAACACCATTTGTCTTTTTAATATTTTTAATATTTATTTGCCTAAATAAATTCTTCTCCCAAAGGTTTATGGTCAAATACTTTATATCTTGTTTTCTAATATGAGTCCCTTGCAAACAGACTTTTTTTTTAGTTTCTTCAAATAATGGAATCTTTTTCCCCCTTTTCTGGGGGGCATTAGCCCAATTTATATTTCAAGTTAGACCTTTGTAATCCATATTTAAGATCCAGGTGAAGAAGAGTCCATAGCTGTGTCTTCTGATTCCAAATCCTGTTTCTCGGTTGAAGCAGCTACGGATCTTGAGATGTTTCCTCTGCCAGTTTTGTTTTCCTTATGTCTCTCCAGAAAATCCCTTGCTTTTTGTACAGAATTCAGTTTCTATCTTCTTTGTTGGAAATTAAAAATTACACCTTCCAACCTGTCCCAACAAAATCTTATTTCTTTTTGTTTTTAGTTTCTCTGTAAGAAATCATAATCTCTTGTCTTGCGCAATATTCTATTTGGAATTTCCTTTGAAACAGTAATGTCAATATTGTCCATCTTAAATCTGTCTTTAAAGTAAAGGTAAAGGTTCCCTTGCTCGAAAGGCAGTCGAATCCGACTCTAGGGTTGCGGTGCTCATCTCTGTTTCAAAGCCAAAGAGCCAGCGCTGTCCGAAGACATTTCCGTGGTCATGTGGCCGGCATGACTAAACACCAAGGCGCGTGGAACGCTGTTACCATCCCACTGAAGTGGTATCTATTTATCGACTTGCAATTTCTTGCTTTCGAACGGCTAGGTTGGCAGGAGCCGGAACGAGAGACGGGAGCTCACTCCGTCATGCGGCACACTCGGGTCTCGAACTGCTGAACTACCAACCTTCCACAGCCTGCAGTTCAACGTCTTAACCACTTGAGCCACCACTTAACCCAAATCTGTCTTTAGACGGTTGTAAAATTCAATCCCTTGTCATTTTTCTCACAAAGTGGACCAAAATATCTCTTGGTACTTTTTAAAAAGTGACATACTTTGTATTTGCTCTGTAAACCTTATCTTCATGATCCATTTTGTCTTTATCAACCTCTAAGAAGTCTGCCAACACTTCCACAGCTTTCCCCCTGATATTCTTGCCAGAGCCCTCAAGAAAGGATCTGAATCTTTGGGAATATTCCTTCTCCCTCAGTTCCAACAACACCAGAGAGTTCATATGCTTTTACAGTTCTGTAGTCAAAACTTCTGTTGTAGAGTCCAAAATAGTTTTGATTTGTTGAATTTCACCAGACATTTGCTTCATGGAATTCTCAAACATTTAAATATCCTCTTTAACCTCTATTTTCATATTTAAACATTTTTCTTGCATTTTTTTCAAATTTTATATCCAGTTTTTCTTCAAATTGGCCAAATAAGTTCTGTATAAATTCAGGAGTAACAGTTTTTTCTGGTGTTTTTTGTAAGTTGAATGTATTAATGTGTCTTCTGGGGCCAGCCATGTTTACACTGAAAACAAACCTTTTGTAGTACTTTCTTACAGCCAGTAGATGTCAATCTTACTCCATCCAAAAATGGAGAGGCGGTTTTCCCAGCATAAAGATTATGTCTAAAGTCTGTTATCCGGTATTTTTGTAGATTCACCAATCACAGGCTAACTTTGTAGTAAACAGCAAGACTTTCTTCCGAAGATCAAACAGAAACTGACTGGTCAAGTTAATATATATTCAACTATCAGTATCAACATTTGGCAACCCCTATCCATAATAACCTTTCTCAAGGCCTCTTCCAGAGCCTGTTTTCTGCTATCTTAACAAAAACGAGGCTCTGTAAATTTGTATTTAAAGAAAAGTCCAAGGAGATAAGAAACGTCTCTCCCTGAGTAAGTAGTAATAAATTCTTGATGACTTGGTCATAGAGCGATAAATTTCTCAAGCATGTAGTTGATAGTTCCTCCGAAGAATAAGAAGGACTTAAGCCATTTGACCGTGGGTATGAGCAAGAATGTTATCTGGATCTTCATGCTGCTCAAGTCTGGCAGATTACAGAGACCACCGCCTCTGTGATTTACCGAAGGGGGCTAACCTAATGAAAAATAATTGGTTGGTTTCTTGATCTCCCGTTTAATCCAGAGAGATATCCCAGCTGGATGTTCCCCTCATCGCAGTGTCTCTCCGTAACAAATAGCGAGGCCGCCGTGTTCCCCACTGGAAGCTCCAAAAGTCTTTGCTTTCAATTGTGTGTCCCCAGTGAGGAATTAATTTGAGCTGGTGGCATACCAGAAAGCTTTCCACCTTGCAGTGGTGTATTTTTTTTTTAGAAAAACGAGGCATGGAGTTCCGTAGGAGGAGGTTGCCGGTGTCCACGCCTACCAACAGCTGCCAGCCGTGAGAGGTGGTGTTGAACTGGAGAGCAGTCTTTGGAGGCAATGTGTGGCACAAAGCTGAGAGCTGGAACTACTAATAACCAGGGTTCCCTCTAAGCTGAGTTAGTGTGAGCTAGCTCACAGTTTTTTTAGCCTCCAGCTCACACATTTGTTGTCTTAGCTCAGGAAGGATGACTCCAGAGCCAACTAAGTTATGCGGCAGCCAAGTCGCTCGCTCACAACTTTAGTGCCAGTAGCTCACAAAGTTGAATTTTTGCTCACAAGACTCCACAGCTTAGAGGGAACATTGCTAATAACTAGAGTAACCCACTGGTGCTCTTTGCTTTCTAGTTTGATTTGGGACAGCTGTCAATCTCTGCCTGCCGGGGAAAGCGGCACAAGGGGGTGGTGGACCAGCTGCAAATGGCAGTGCGCACTATAAACTGGTTAGCGCACAGGATATTTAAAACATTTATTAGCCCGCTTTCTCCTTTACGGGTCTCAAGGCAACTTACCGTATAGTAGTCGTTGAGGAGTGCTTTTTGCGGAAGGAAGTTTATTTAAAACATTTCTCAACCGACTTTCGTCCTTCTGGAGCTCAGGTTTGCCTTACAATATAAATGAAATGCACAAAACAGAGTACACGAAAATACAGACAACCACAATTTAGAATCACAGTTTAAGACTGCTTTAATCAAATTCTCTCTGAAATAAAACCGTCTCCAGTTGCCTCCTACAAATCGCCAGTGAGGGAGCCAGGCGGGCCTTTCTCGAGAGGTTTGTGCCATAATTGCGGGGCAGCCACTGAAAAGGCCCTGTTTCACAAACCCACCAAACGAGCTGCTTTGATTGATGGGGCAGTCAGGAGGGGCCTCTCCCTGTGATCTGAATTCCTGGGTAGGAACACGCCATGCCCTATTGATCCCCTTCCCCCTTTCCCCCAAAGAGTGACCCAACTGGCGCTAATCCAGGGGGCCCCAGATTCTGGAAATTGCCACCAACAGCCTAAAGAAGAAGAAGTTGGATATATCCCCTGCCCTTCACTACCCGAAGGAGTCTCAGAGCGTCTTACAAACTCCTTTCCCTTCCCCTCCCCACAACAGACACCCCGTGAGGGTAGGTGGGGGGCTGAGAGAGCTCGGACAGAAACTGCTCTTTTTCAAGGACAGCTGTGCCAGAACTACGGCTTGCCCAAGGTCATCCAGCAGGTGTGAGTGGAGGAGTGGGGAATCAAACCCGGTTCTCCCAGATTAGAGTCCGCGCGCTTAACCACTACACCAAAGAACAGCAAGCGCTGCAAGGACGACCAAAATGAACACTGTGAGCTGACTGCGAGCTGAGAACTCTGAATAATGGCTGGTACCGTCATACGAACAACAAAGACTACTAGCACTTCATTATGGTTTTAGAATTGCTTTAATTGTAATTTATGTTTTAATGTAACTTATCTGTTTTTAAGTAAGCTGCCCTGAGCCGACTTCGGCCGGAAGGGTGGGGTAGAAATGCGAAGAATAAAGAAATAAAATTATTTTATTTTATTTTTAGGTCTCCGTGGGTGAGGCATTCCTTGTTTACAAGAAGCGCCTGTACTCGAGGTCTGAGTTCAACAATTATGTGGCGGCCCTCTACAAAGTGTTGGGGACTTTCCTTTTTGGCGCGGCTGTTAGCCAATCGCTGACGGACCTGGCCAAGTATACGATTGGGCGCCTGCGGCCAAACTTCCTGGCGGTCTGCAATCCCGTTTGGTCGAAAATAAACTGTTCGGAGTTTGTGCAACTGGAAGCCGTGTGCCAGGGAAGCATCAAGAACGTCACAGAGTCCAGGTCAGTATGGAAGGAATGCTTTGGGGCAGGGGTTGCCTCTCAGGGAGGAAGGAACGGCTGTGATGTCATGGTAGGGTGGGAGCTGCCATTGGCTTAGCTGCAGTGATGTCACAGAGCTACGAAACAGCTAACTGCCAGGGAGGTCGAACTGCCAAGGTGAGTTCTAGTATCCATGAACAACTTCCTTTGGGTATTGCTAAAACCCCTTGAGCGTTCCAGAGACACCTGGTTGGTATGCATCAAGGCCAGCCAGGGATGGACAACGCAGCACTTGCTGCTTATCAATCCTACGGACATAAGCCGCCTTATTAGACGACACACCCTCTAATGTAGCCAATCCTCCAAGAGCTTACAGAGCTCTTCTTACAGGAGCTACTGTAAGCCCTTGGAGGATTGGCTACATTAGGGGTGTGTCACTTAATATGCAAATGAGTACCTGCTACAAAAAAAGCCCATATTATACGGACATAAGAAGCTGCCTCCCGCTGCGTCCGGGAGACTGGGACCCTCCCCCCTTGCTTGCCTCCTCCTGGTAGCTTGCAGAGCGAGAGCTTCTTTGTGCCGGCAGTAGAAATGTTAAAGGGCCGGGCTCGGATCTGGGAGGAGACCCGGGTTCAGAACCTCCCTCTGCTGTGGAAGCCAGCTGGGGGACCTTGGGCCAGTCGCACCCTCTCAGCCACGCCTACCTCGCCAGGTTGTTGTGCAGATAAATTGGAGGACAAGAGAGTGACGTTGAGTCACTTTGGGTCCCCATTTGGGAGAGAAGCAGGATATAAATAAGGGAAGGAATAAATAAAGTAGCCTCACCCCGTGTGACTCCAGACCGTTGGCGAGAGCGTTAAAGAACCGACGGCAACTGTTTTCTCTCTCTCTCTGCCTCTTCTAGGTTATCGTTCTATTCGGGACATTCCTCATTCGGGATGTACTGCATGATGTTCCTGGCGGTAAGTGGTCCATTGGCTGAAATGGCCAGACATGTCCCTCCCCCTCGGAGTCCCATTGCTCTGGGGACCTGTCACCCAAGGGGATGCAAGAGTCCTAACCGGGGCTCTTTTTGTAGCAGGAACTCCTTTGCATATTAGACGACACACCCTCTAATGTAGCCAATCCTCCAAGAGCTTACAGTAGCCCCTGTAAGAAGAGCTCTGTAAGCTCTCGGAGGATTAGCTCCATTAGGGGTGTGTCGCCTAATATGCAAAGGAGTTCCTGCTACAAAAAGAGCCCTGGGACCCTGGCTGGCAACTGACCCATCTTCTGTCCCTGGTTCCAGCTGTACGTACAGGCCCGTCTTGTGTGGCGATGGGCCCGGCTGGTGCGCCCGACGGTCCAGTTCTTCCTCCTCTCCTTCGCCATCTACGTGGGCTACACCCGAGTCTCGGACTACAAACACCACTGGAGTGACGTACTGGTGGGCCTCCTCCAGGGGGCGCTCATTGCCGTTCTCGTGGTACGTGTGGGCCAAACAAGAGGGCCAACGTGGGCCAGAGGGAGGAAGCAAAAGTGGTAGAGTGGAGTCTCGTGGCCCAGTGATCTTTTTCGCCCTGTTGGTCTTGGGAAGGTTTGTTTGGAATCCTTTTCTGGTCAGATGCTCCCGGGGTAGCACTGGGGAAACACCATTTCTCTCTCTGCTCCATTTCCTTTAGCTACTGTGTCTCTCTGCCTCTCCAGAATCCGTCTTTGGTGTAGTGGTTAAGTGTGCGGACTCTAATCTGGGAGAACCGGGTTTGATTCCCCACTCCTCCACTCGCAGCTGCTGGATGACTTTGGGCAAGCCATAGTTCTCTCAGAGTTGTCCTTGGAAGGGCAGTTCTCAATCAGAACTCCCACAGCCCCACCTGCCTCACAGGGTGTCTGTTGTGGGGAGGGGAAGGGAAAGGAGATTGTGAGCCACTCTGGGACTCCGAGTGAAGGGCGGGGTATAAATCCAATCTCTCCCCCTCCTCCTCCTCCTCCTCTTCCCAGAAGGCCTGGCTCATCCTAAAAAATCAAGTAACGAATAAATATACACTGCAAGAAACTTTTGTAAATTAATGTGGTCTGTTTATAATTAACATTCAATATAACAATAACATACAGTTCATACAAGCGGGCATGTAATTCTGGAAACTCCTGTTGGGGGTTTGACTTTTAAAATGTTGATGCAAAACTGACTGGTCGTTGTTGTATTGTATGAACTGTGTGTTATTGTTATATTGAATGTACTGAATATATATAACTGATTAGGATGTTATAAGAGTACACAGTGCACTTGATAGAAGGTTAATTATAAACAGAACACATTCATTTGCAAACGTTTCTGGCAGTGTATATTTATTCATTACTTGATCGTCCTAAAAAATAGCAGAGATACCTCTGTCTGGTTCTTCCTCGTGGTCAAGGAGGGTTTTACGGACACCAGGGACCACCAAAAAGACAAATCAGTGGATTCTAGATCAAATCAAGCCTGAGCTTTCTCTTTAAGCTAAAATGACTAAACTGAGGCCTCAGGGCTCTTTTTGTAGCAGGAACTCCTTTGCATATTAGGTGACACACCCCTAACGTAGCCAATCCTCCAAGAGCTTACAGTAGCCCCTGTAAGAAGAGCTCTGTAAGCTCTGGGAGGATTGGCTACATTAGGGGTGTGTCGCCTAATATGCAAAGGAGTTCCTGCTACAAAAAGAGGCCGTCATACTTTGGTCACGTTCTGAGAAGACAGGAGTCACTGGGAAAGACGATAACGCTAGGAAAAGTTGGAGGCCGCAGGAAAAGAGGAAGACCCAACAGGAGACGGACGGACTCCCATTAGGGAAGCCACAGAGGCCTTCAGTTTGCAAGAGCTGAGCAAGGACTGTTAATGGGAGGAGGTTTGGGGAGGACATTCATGTACAGATTCCCCGTGGGTCAGAAGCAAGTTGATGTCACTTAACACACACACAAACCCATCTGGGAGTTGGGATGTTTGTGAATATCCCATGGCTCCGCAGCAGTCCAGAGCCTTCCTGTTCTACAAGTGTAGCCTAACTATAGGAGGAAATGGAGCAGTGAATAAACCAGTTTTGTGTGTGGTGTGTTACTGCATGTTATGGATAGAGGAGGGGAGTATTACTTTCTCCCACTCCCAAAATCGTCTGTTGGTTTGTGAGTATTATTACGTTGGAAATAGTAGCGGGACAGTCGGGTTGGTATATTCTGCTTTTAGGTTGTTAGTGAGAGGTGGTGTTGTGTGGCGGTGAGAGTGTTATCCGCGGAGCTGGGAGACTGAGATCAAATCCCCACACTGCCGTGGAAGCTCGCTGGGTGATCTTGGGCCAGTCGTAGGTGAGAGCCAGTTTGGTGCAGTGGTTAAGAGCGGCAGACTCTAATCTGGAGAACTGGGTTTGATTCCCCACTCCTCCTCCACATGCAGCCAGCTAGGTGACCTTTTGCCAGTCAGAGCTCTCTCAGCCCCACCTGCCTCACAGGGTGTCTGTTGTGGGGAGGGGAAGGGAAAGGAGATTGTAAGCCCTCTTGAGACACCTTTGGGTAGTGAAGGGCGGGGTATAAATCCAATCTCCTCCTCCTCCTCCTCCTTCTAAAAGAGCAGTTTCTGTCAGAGCTCTCTCAGCCCCACCTGCCTCACAGGGTGTCTGTTGTGGGGAGGGGAGGGAAAGGAGATTGTAAGCCCTCTGAGACACCTTTGGGTAGTGAAGGGCAGGGTATAAATCCAATCTCCTCCTCCTCCTTCTCCTTCTAAAAGAGCAGTTTCTGTCAGAGCTCTCTCAGCCCCACCTGCCTCACAGGGTGTCTGTTGTGGGGAGGGGGAGGGAAAGGAGATTGTAAGCCCTCTGAGACACCTTTGGGTAGTGAAGGGCGTCTCCTCCGAACCTACCTCATAGAGTTGTTGTGAGGATTAAAGACAGAGGAGGAAGAACACTACTCCGAGCTCCTTAGACAAAGGGCAGGATAAAAATACACTAAACAGGTCTTAAATGTTTAAGTCGTTTCAAGTCCAAAAAACTGGGAGAAAGGGGGCATTTAAGTACTTATAAAAAATGGTTTTGCATGAGTCCAGTGGCACCTTTTGCATGAGTCCAGTGGCACCTTTTGTGTGCATGTATACGAAAGCTTCTACCCAGAATTAAAACTTCGTTGGCCTGAAAGATGCCAACGGGACTCACACTTTGTTCTGTTGCTTCAGACCAACATGGCGACCCACCGGAATTATTATTTTTTGCATGTTTTTGCATGACTGAAGCAGCTTCCTAGCATAGCAAAAACAAAATACACACACGACACGACATACTGACACAAACCAGTCTGCACAGCAGAGACTCCACAGGAAATGGCAGTTCTTAGACAGAATTGATGGCATCAAAGATGTGGAGCAGGCCAGACTTGCCGACCAGGACCAGAGCAGATGATGATGATGAAGAAGAAGAGATTGGATTTATACCCCACCCTTCACTCGGAGTCTCAGAGCGGCTTACAATCTCCTTCCCCTCCCCACAACAGAGACCCTGGGAGGTAGGTGGGGCTGAGAGCTCTTTCCAGAACTGTCCAGATGAAGGGGGCAAATGCAAATGACTTTGGCTTGTGCCAAAGGGGAGCAGGTGGGGCACCGCAGATGAATGAGACCCCACTGTAAGCAGATGTGGGGCCCACGGGGCCCGCAGTGCCCATTTAAGGTGGCAGGAGATCCACAGGTGAGAAGAAGGGGGGGACCTTTGAGCCCCACTCCCCATTCCAAGGCAGGCTGCCTCCAGCCGTCCTTCTCTTGCCCTCTCTCCCACTCCAGGTCCTCTACGTGTCCGACTTCTTCAAGCAGCGCTTGCCGCCGCTGCCGCCGCCCTGTGACGAGAAGGAAGCCGCCCGGCGAAAGCCCAGCATTGGCCTGGTTCCCAGCAATCCGGAGCACAATCATTACAGCGTGGTTTCTCGCTGTGGTGGGGGGGGGGGGGGGGGGGGGGGGGAGTTCTGCTGGCGACCCAAGATCTTCTTTTGGGTGCTCCCCTGGATGGGAGTTCTTTCTGGATCGGCCTGTAATTCCCCCCACCCCCTTTTTTTTTACAATTTGCTCTGAGGCTAAGATGCCCTTTTATTACTGCAATGGTGCCTTTTGTGCATCCCCAGAATTCTTGTGTGCGCCTCCCCCCCCTGCCCCCGAATAGCTTTCTTTTGCGAACTTTTGCAAACTTGCCAAAAAAAGAAAAAGAAAAAAGAAATCTCTTCGTGGGGGTAGGGTGGAGTTTGTATTGCCAATCTTTTTTTTTTTAAATCAAACTCCTACCTTTTATTACAGGTGTGTGCTCCACAGGCACCGCTAAACCCTTCTGTGCGTGCTGTGGGGAACCTCACCTGCTGGTATTTGAAGAGCCTCCTGCTGTTCTAAAGGCCCAGATGCCGACTGGTAGTTTCCTGGCCATCTGGCAAGGGGTGTGTGTGTGTGTTTGTGTGTGTGTGTGTATGTGTGTGTGGTCTTTTGCCTGTCTGCCCCTAAAGAAGTGGGCACTTGCTTTCCCAGCGTGAAATACCCCCTGGGGGCACGCAAGTTGTGGACTTGCACCCACACCAGCCCAATTCATGAGGTTCTGTGCTCTGAGTAGAAACAAGAGCGGAAGAGGTGAATCAGGGCCACGCAGGCCTTGGCTTACTGCAACGCTAACGTCCAGTCCGCCTCCAGTGGGAGCAAACGAAAGGAAGACAGCGTTTCCGGATTGAGTGAAAGGTGGTTTGGTTTTGTTCGGCCTCGAAATAAAATTCCGCCACCCGCTTTCAGACAGCATTTCCAGCCACGGCTTCCAGACAGCAGGTTCTTGAGAGGAAATTGATGAGCGTCCAATGAAAATGAGGGGAGAATGTTGCCCGGCGCATGATTTCTTTTTTTCTTTTTCTGTCTTTCCAGCCACAGTGAAGATTCCTACCATGTGACTAGTTCGGCAGTGTCAGGAACCAGTGTTTCCTCTAAGCTGAGCTGGTGTGAGCTAGCTCACAGTTTTTTCGCCCCCGGCTCACACAGCTCACCTTCGGCTCACCTTCGCTCAGGAAGGATGGCTCCGGAGCAAACTAATTTACACAGCAGCCAAACCGCCCGCTCACAACTTTAATGCCGGTAGCTCACAAAGTCGAATTTTTGCTCACAAGACTCCGTAGCTTAGAGGGAGCATTGGATGGGATACGGGTGTGTTGGGGTCTTTGGATGCGCCGGATCCTCTTTGATCTCCCCCCACCCCCATCTTGATCCACTAGCAACTGAGACAGAATATGGCTGGCTTTGGGGCTTGCCCTCCACAGAACATAGATTCTCTTCGTGGGCACGGAGCATTCTCCACGTGTGAGTGGGAAAGCATTTGCGCCTTGATCCAGAAGGAATTAACCGAGTGTTTAGAGCATTCCGGTCAGGATGTTATCCAGACTAAATTGGAGACGAATATTCTCCTCCACCACCACCACCACCCAAAAAAATCCCTGTGGCTGATCATTTCTTTCATTTCTCTTTTTTATCGTCTACCTTCCTCACTGGCCCTCAAGAATACACAGAATGAATCAGTACAGTCAACAGAGTGGGACATCCAGTAGACAACACAGCAGGTACCTTATAGCAACAGAGCTAGTACTAGCTATATACAGTGGTATAGTCCCTACAATTCTGAACTCTCTACCCAAGCTTCTTTCTGAACTATACAGTGCAAGCTCTTATCTCCTATGCAAAAAGCCCTCTTGCATAATGAATGTATTAATTGTAGAGTGCCAGTCTCTAGGGCAAGAGGGACCCAGGTTCAAATCCTGTCGCACTGTGAATGGGGGCAGATTGGGAAGTTAAAACAATCCCGAAGTGGGCCGAATGGTCCCTGTTTTTAAGGCTGTCTTCTTACTGGCTGCCCATGGGAGGGGCTGTGACTCAGTGGCAGAGCATCTGCTTGGCATGCAGAAGGTCCCAGGTTCGATCCCCGACAGTAGGTGATGTGAAAACCTCTGCCTGAGGCCTCAGAGAGCTGCTGCCAGTCTGAGCAGAAAATACTGACTTTGATGGACCGAGGGTCTGATTCAGAAGAAGGCAGCTAAAAAGTCAGTCTACCTCTGGCCATGAACCTTGCTGGGTGCCTTCAGACCAGTCTCTGTCCGCTTAGCCTACCTCGCAGGGTTGTTAGGAGGAAAAGACAGGAAATCTGTGCATGCCGCACTGAGCTCCTTGGATAATTTAATCATAGCAGTGGCTCAAGTGGTTAAGTCGCTGAACTGCAGACTGGAAGGTCGGCAGTTCAAGACCCGAGTGCTGCGTGATGGAATGAGCTCCCATCTCTGGCCCCAGCTCCTGCCAACCTAGCAGTTCGAAAGTAAGAAATTGTAAGTAGATAAATAAGTACCTCTTCAGTGGGAAGGTAACAGTGTTCAGTGCGCCTCGGCGTCTAGTCATGCCAGCCACATGGCCACGGAGAAGTCTTCGGACAGCGCTGGCTCTTTGGCTTGGAAACGGAGATGAGCACCGCATTCCTAGAGTCGGATTCGACTGGCTTTTAAGAGCAAGGGAAACATTGACCTTTACGTAATGGCACTGGATGCCTGGTGTGCTGTGGATCTGCTTGCATGCCGTGGAATTTACTCTCTTCCAGGCCTCAACACTTTTCTTCTCTGCTGCCTGCCCACATCCAAAGAACTGAGTTCCACATTCCGCATTCAGAGTTATTCTCTAAATCACTGGCCGTGTTGGAAATGTTGGAAAAATCTAGTTTCCGCTCTCATCCTGAGATTCCTGACCATTGGTTCTCCCTCCTTTCCATAAGTTCAGCCTCTTCTTAGATTTTAAAATCCACGTCAACCTTAAATAATGGCTCCATCAGGTTTATTCCTCTTTCCTTCGTTGTGGAGTGCCTTAAAGAATACCGTAGCATTTTTTCTCTAGGGTTTTACGAAAGCCTTCAATCAATAGAAATGATTTGGTAGTGACGTTTTCTCAAACAAGGAAAGAAAACCGCATTGCCGACGCTTTCTTGGAGGCAACTGTGAGATAGCGAAATCCGGTGCGGGGGGGGGGCGGGGTGAGCCAGCCAGCCATCGAGCCTGGAGCAAAACCTTGCTGAGAACTGCTTTTTCCCAAAGCACCTTTTAAAATCCTATTTTGATGTGTATTTTTTTTAAAAAGTCTGAAAGCTGTTTGGGATCATATATCTATCCTGGAAAGCCAGTGTGGCATAGCGGTAAGGGTTTCAGACAAGGATGTGGGAGAACCAGGTTCAAATACTGCTCTGCTGTGGATGCTCGCCGGGTGAGCTTGGGCCGGTGGCAGCCTCTCAGCCTCGCCTACCTCGCAGGTTTGTTGTGAGGATAAAGGTTTATTCCTCTTTCCTTCGTTGTGGAGTGCCTTAAAGAATACCGTAGCATTTTTTCTCTAGGGTTTTACGAAAGCCTTCAATCAATAGAAATGATTTGGTAGTGACGTTTTCTCAAACAAGGAAAGAAAACCGCATTGCCGACGCTTTCTTGGAGGCAACTGTGAGATAGCGAAATCCGGTGCGGGGGGGGGGCGGGGTGAGCCAGCCAGCCATCGAGCCTGGAGCAAAACCTTGCTGAGAACTGCTTTTTCCCAAAGCACCTTTTAAAATCCTATTTTGATGTGTATTTTTTAAAAAAAACATCTGAAAGCTATTTGGGATCATATATCTATCCTGGAAAGCGAGCGGTAAGGGTTTCAGACAAGGATGTGGGAGAACCCGGTTCAAATACTGCTCTGCTGTGGATGCTGTGGTGAGCTTGGGCCGGTGGCAGCCTCTCAGCCTCTGCTTTGACCATGCGGACTTTTGTTGGCAGGGTGATGTCTCTACTTTTTATCATGTTGTTTAGGGAGAGGCCGGTAAATGAAGTAAACAAACAAAGCAGGCTTAAAATACAGTAAATGGCTAATTCCTTCGGTGGTGGTTTGTGGATTTGTGAAGCGGACCCTGAGTTTAGCCTTTCACGCTGGAGGCAGCCAGTGTTTGAAAGCAGAGACCTGGAACGTTTCTTCCATTACAAACAGGTAGCTAGTTCTGTCCTCCTCCAATGGCCTTTGGGAAAAGTACTTCCCTGAGATTGCTGAGAATCCCGGAAGATCTCTGCCGCCTTTTTGCAGAGCTAACAGTTTCTAAGTTCCCTTGGCTGGCTAGGTGGTGCCATTTTAAACGAGTCTGGAAGAGTTCAAATTTGGCAATAAATGACACTAGGTGGAGGTCAGCAACTGGGCCCAACCCAGCCTGGGCTCCTACTCCACAGTAAAAGAGCAGGAGAAAATAGCAAGAGTCCAGGAGCACCTTCAAGACTAACAAAATTTGTTGCAGGGGATGAGCTTTTGTGAGTCAGGAAAGCTCCTCCCTTGCCACAAATTTCCTTAGTCTTGAAGGTGCTCCTGGACTCTTGCCCTTTTCTCCTGCTGCAGACAGACTAGCACAGCTGTAAGACAGAACAGTGTTCACAGGGTTGTCAGAGAGCCATTGCTTGGAAAGGCTCCTGATCATGTTTGAACCATTGTCCGACAAGCGTAGTGTGTGCTCTTCAACCACGGACAGAAGTTGTAGGAGAAGTTTTCCTTCGCTGAACTCGAGCCCATTGTGCATTGAATTATTCTGTATTCTTAAAAATCTGTGCACTCCCTTGGCGGCTCTGATGAGGGTCGACCGGCGGTGTATGAATGTTGCAAATAAATCATAAAGGCATGGGGATCTCCACCTGGAAAAATTTGTAGCAACTGTATTATTGTATATATGCAGTTTCCTTCTGTTGGGTACATCTGGTTCTGTACGATGTGTTTTAAATATATAACATGTCTTCACTCAAATGTGATTGTGGTTTTTTGTGTGTGGTTTTTTTACCTTTTACATAATACAACGCCCGTGGTGATCTGGCCGTGAATTAGGATACCAGACCCCAAAATTGAAGCAAAATAAAAGTTTTGAAGCAAAAAAGGGACAGAGGGAGGAGTGAATAGTATGCGCTGCCCTGGGGTGTGTTATGTAGTGGTTAGAGCTTTGGACTAGGGTCTGGAAGGCCCGAGTTCCAATCTCCACTCTGCCATGAAGCTTGCTGCTTGATTTTGGGCCGCTCAGTCAATGTCTCATAGCCTCGCCTACCTCACAGGGTTGTTGTGAAGATACATGGAGAAGAGAGAACCTTTTATACTACCCCCAAATGGTGGGATTAGTGTTGCCAACAGGCCTGGAGTAAAATGCCTGGGCCCTTCGATAGACGTTTAAAGTCTAGAAATGGGCAGCTGAGGCTTTTCATAGCATGGAGACTTTTTTAAAAAAATCACTTTGTAAATCACTTCTCTTTAACCCTTTATTTAAAAGAGGAGACACTTTCCCCCTCTGGACAGATGGCAGTTGGGTAGCTGAGGGGCAAACTTGAAAAACTGTGGTCCCTGGACGCTAGTACCTGACTTGGTTAGGCACTTGCTCCCATATCGGCACTACCAACCCTTACGGCGTTCCCCCAAGGAATTCTGGGAACTGTAGTTTGGGTGCTGGGAATTGCGCTTTAGAGATTCCCGATCCTGGAAATACACCCTAAGCTGCCCTACAGGATCCAAGGCGATACAGGATCAGATATGTATTTTCCTCTGCTGCAAAGCTGGTGCATTTGTGCTAACAGTGGTCTAAGGTCACTGGGTTCCCCCGGCAGCTGGCGGAGTGAGGGTGGGGCTGAGGGTAGGGTTGCCAGCTCCAGGCTGGAGACTCCTCAAGTTTCAGGGATGGAGCCTGGAGAGGACAGAGACATTGGTGGGGGACAATGCCGCAGAGTCCACCCTCCAAAGCAGCCATTTTTCTCCGGGGAACTGACCTCTGTATTCTGGAGATGAGCTGTGACTCCAGGGGATCCCCAGGCCCCGCCTGGAGGCTGGCATCCCTGTTCTCCCTAAAGTGTCAGCCCTTCTCCCACTCCAATGAACCCCTCTAGGG